GGTTTTTTGAGACAGGGTTTCTCTGTGTAGCTTTGCACCTTTCCTGGATTTCGCTCTGTAGACCAGGTTGGCCTTGAACTCACAAAGATCCACCTGGCTCTGCCTCCCGAGTGCTGGGATTAAAGGCGTGCACCACCACCGCCCGGCTTCTCTTTTGTCTTTTTAAATAACTCCAGACAGGTGCCAGTGAGATGGCTCAGCAAGTAAGGAAGCTTGCAATGAGACTGACAACCTAATTTTAATCCCCAGGAGGGCCTGCACTGTAGAAAGACAGACCTGAAATTGCTCTCTGTCCTCCAGACATATGCCATGGCACACATGGACCCACGTACCTATATGCACAAAATAAATAATGTTTTAACAAATTGGAAATAACTGAAAACATACTTCAGTGAGTTCTTCTGTCTGTCTGTCTGTCTGTCTCCCTCTTTCACTCCCTTTCTCTCCACCTCTCTAGTACATAGAGCAGTGGTTCTCAATTTATGGGCTGTGACCCCTTTGGGGGAGGTCAAACCACCCTTTCATGGGGTTGCATATCAGATATCCTGCATATAAGATATTTAAATTACAATTCATAACAGTCGCAAAATTATTGTTATGAAGTAGCAACAAAATAATTTTATTTGAGGTTAAGGTCACCACAACATGAGGAGCTGCATTAAAGAGTCACAGCATCAGGAAGGTTGAGAACCACTGACACAGAGAAAGATCTCCTCCAGTTTGCACTAAATTTCTGTATCAAGGAATAGGGATTTCTGCCTGGGAAATCCTTTGCCATTTGCCATTGACATTACTGGTGGGCATGAGGTTTATATTAAGACTCTACCTGACTAATATTTGAACACCTGCTATGAAAACCTTAGGTGTGAAAAGCAAACTGGATTATACACACTGAATGTGTGAAGTGGCCTATGTATAGAAGTGGCCTGTGTGTTTATGTGTTGAGAAAAGTGCTTGCCTGGTATTCAGGAAGCCCTGGGTTTGATACCCAGCACTACATTCTCATTCTCTCTCTCTCTCTCTCTCTCTCTCTCTCTCTCTCTCTCTCCACAAACAGAGAGAGGGTTTACCTTAAACATATTAAGAGATAGACCTTGTTCTGAGCATATAATAGGGAATATGTGCTTCACTGGCATCGTTGAAACTACCTCAAAACCAACCCAGTGTGAAACCTGAGGTTGCTGTTTCTGTGCACCTCTGGGAATGAGTGTGGCATCCATGTTCCTTTGGTTTTGCAGGTAGTCTGGTGGGTGACGATTATTTGTAACTTTGCTGACATCAGTCTTGACTACACAAGGGGAAACCCACAGCTAGTTTAATCAGGCCTCAAAGTAAGGAGTAAATACTTGGTCACTACCAGGCAGGCAGATTTTAAAAAAAATTTTTTGATTTTTTTTTTTTTATTGGAAGATGTTAATTTCATTTCTACAAAGCTGACTTTAAAAGTCTATTCACTATATCGCCTCCCTCCCCCTCTAAATTTAGATACATGTGTATGTGTGCCACATGGGTCCCTGAGGAGGCCAGAAGAGGATACCAGATTCCATGAAGCTGTAGTTATAGGGAGCTGTGAGCCACCTGACATGGGTACTAGGAATAAAACTTAGGTCCTCTGGAAGAGAAGCAAGTTCTCTTCACTGCTGAGCTATCTCTCCAGCCCCTGAAATTTTTATTTTAAAGACTGTTACTTTACACACCACTCCTCATTTCTTTGTACTATCATGTTATAATGACTGTGGATGTTGCTTAACAACGGGGTTTCATTGGAGACACACATCAATAGACATTCTGCTATGTGACTATCAGATGGTGCTTACACAACCTAATACGGTTGCCACGTCACAGGGTGACTGTTCAGCAAGGCACATGCTGCCCATTATTGACTGAAATGGTAGTCCACAGCTCCTAGCTCTCCATCTCGATTGGAGAAGACAACCTCTCAAACTGTTGCTTCTTCTGTCAACTAAGTTGAATTAGAGAGGCAGTAAATGTGTTTTGAGCACGATGAAAGAGGCAGAGAAGGAGAGAAAGCAGGAGTCATAAGACTCTGCGCATGTGACGACTACTTTGCAGGACTCTGCCACAAGTGAAAGGTCCTCACCACGTGAAGTACCGAGGTGCTGGCCAGTCCATTGTTCACAGTGCTGCCCAGGTAGATGGTGAAGGACTGGTTCACTCCAGGAAGCCTGCAGACCCATGCCTCTGAAGTGTTCTGACCTGGCTCTGGCTGTATTACCTTCAGCCATCCCAGGAAAGTTGACCTGGCTCCATAGGGAACTTCCTGCTCCCTGCCCTGAGCCCAAAGTCACAGTAATGTCACAATGACTGGTCTCACCCATTAAAAACTGCTGTGAGGGTTTTGTTTATTTGTCTGTTTTCCTCTTCAGGATAAGACTGCAAGAGATGCTTAGCATCCAAAGGCGAGGAACTTAGTTGGGAAACCGTACCTTCCAAATGGAAAACAGGAAAGAGAAGACCCGGTGCTGAAAAAGATATTCTATGACCTTAGATGTTAGTCCTGGCTTGGGAGCTGGCTTAAATCCTTTTTTCCTCCAGAATCATCCATAGGGCTGGAGGGACAGCTCAGCCGTTAAAGACTAGGCTCACAACCCAAACCAGAATCATTCATAGCAGTTATGATAATCACGCCTACCCCTCCTAGTGGATACAGTATCTAATAAATGGAGATGGCTTTTGAAATATGGCTCTGGCTCTCTGTGAACTGCTTCAGCATCTTATAAGCATTTCAGAGACTTTTTGGTTCTTAGAATACTCTTCTTTCTGTTGAAAGTAAATTTTGCAACTTGTAGGTGGCTCTTAGATGCCTTTGGCAGGAGAAGTCCAGAAACACGGAGCTGGTGGCCCTTCCTAGCCCCAATGCAGTGACCTGAGAACACTGGCATAGGGCAGCTCCACATTTTCCCCCAGCATTACTTCTTTGATGCTTCCTTTAGATTTCTGTAAGGGCTTTGCAGCCTTCTAAGTCAAGCAAAGAGTTGCTTATGATCTAGAAAAAAAAATACAAAAGATGTGAGAGAAAAGAAGAATGGGTCAAAATGTTGGCAACTGATGAAGGAGAGCTGACACACTCTTCTATTTTGAGTACGTTACAATTTTTCCATGATAAAAGTCTTTTAAAAAAAATCCCCAAAGACACAGAATCTTCTTTGAAATCAAATGCATTTAGAGTCTTTGTTCTCCAGTGCCTTGGGTAAGCCTCCATCCACCTAGTAACATGTCACTTGCCAGGGAAACCCCCTTCCTTTATGATCACTGATACTCCTGCTCTGTCCTGGTAACGCCTTCAGCACTGGCACTGTTCTGAGTCTTGGGTTGCAGAAGCTTCTTTCTACCTGACATTCTCAGACTCCTTGGGATATCCCATATATAGTAACAAACATAATTCAGGACACAGAAAATTCCAACTCTTGCCTTGCTAGGGGCTGTAAGAGGCTTCCCACGGTGGGCAGAGCCCCACCTGGAACCTGGCAGGAGCCAGCCTGTGGTGGTATTGTGTTCCCCAAAATATTGTGCACCCTAATAAACTTATCTGGGGCCAGAGAACAGAACAGCCACTAGATACAGAGATCAGATAATGGTGGCACTCACGCCTTTAATCCTGTCACTTGGGAGGCAGAGATCCATCCGAACTCTGTGAGTTCAAGGCCACACTGGAAACAGCCAGGCATGGTGACACATGCCTTTAATCCAAGGAAGTGAGCCATTAACGCCAGGAAGTGAGGGCAGAAAGGTATATAAGGCATGAAAACCAGGAACTAGGCTGGTTAAGCTTTTAGGCTTTTGAGAAGCAGTTTCAGCTGAGATCCATTTGGATGAGAACTCACAGGCTTCCAGTCTGAGGAAACAGGATCAGCTGAGGAATTGGCAAGGTGAGGTGGCTGTGGCTTGTTCTGCTTCTCTGATCCTCCAGCGTTTACCTCAGTACCTGGCCCAGGTTTGATTAGTAAGAACTTTTAAGATGCCTGCTGTACCAGCCTTGTCATTTAATACAGAGGAGTGGATGGTCAGAGGCTGATTTCCCTGGCCCCTGAGTGCTCATGCACCCTCTTTCTTTCTCTGTCTCCCCCTCTCTCCCTCCCCTCCTCCTTAATTTTCAGATAGTGGAACCCGAGCTGTCCTTAAAGTTCCTGTATAGCTGAAACTGATCTCAAAAGAACTTCTGGCCCTCCTGTCTCTGCCTCCTGAGTGATGAGCCTACAGGCATGTGCTACCATATTGGTTTACAGAGTGCTGGGTATCAAAGCCAGGCCTTTGGGCACATCAGGCAAGCTCTCTGTGGACTAGGCTACATCCCTAGGCCCCGATTCTCCCACTCCATTAGGTGAATTATGCTGTGCAAAGCACTCTTCACATACCAAGTGCAGCTCCTTGGGCACAATCCACCCTGAGGAGACTCTGAGCAGATCTGCTGCTAAGCACCAGCCACTGTCTCTCATTTCTGACTGTGGCTCCTCTGTGACCTCTTGTTCCTGCTGGCGTGACTTCTCTGTCTTGATGAGCTGTACTCTGTGAGCAAAATAAGCCTTTCCGTCCTTAAGCTGCTTTTTTACAAGTATTTTGGCACAACACTGAGAAAAATAACTAGACAGTGTCACTAGAGGTTTTACAAGAGTGGTGTGTTAACTCTTTCCTGTGTGTGTGTGTGTGTGTGTGTGTGTGTGTGTGTGTGTGTGTGTGTGTGTGTGTGTACACTTCAAACTCTCCCTCCCTCCCCTCCCC